GTATTCCTTTAATGGGATTCAGAGTGCCCCGGATGTATGGCGCGTATCTTTTAATACTGTATCTGGTCTATTTAGCAGTATCCGTGGCAACAGCTGTTAAACATGCTCGTCATCAGTGACGGCAGATTATCATATTTCTTGGAGTGACAATTTAGGTGATTTTTTTTAATCGTATCTCTTAAGATATTTTTGTGTTCGAATTTAGGGCTCGGGAAAGACATTTAGGGCTTCTAGGAAAGATTTTTTTATCTAGTATAAACACTTAAGTTTTTTGTCAAACGAGGAAATGACATATCATGATGGTAAAACCTCAAGGAACTATCTTGGAACTTCTGAAGTGGGCTTTGTAAGTTAACGTTTAAGTTCTTCAAGTATAGCAGTAAACTATTTTTCAAAAAAATTATCTCGTGTCGAGAAAACTAAACATTTCACTAAATTTGTGTCGGACGGCAGCCTTCATACTTGTCGTAGGACTAGAGGAATCGTTTTCACTCACTTGCTGATTTTTTAATTCAAGTGCTTTTACGTTTTAGGATCTAGAATCGTAAAATTATTCAATCATTATTTAGGTCGTAATGAATTTTTTAGAACTTTTTTTTACCAAAAGGTAATGTAAATACAGGTATTTAAAATGGCAGGTGCAAAATTATATCAGTGAATCTCTAATAAATGTCAAAAGAAAATAAGAATAATTAGATATGTTAATTGCAGAAATGAGCACAGCTTTAGTGATCTCTTCGTGATCACCCAAGTCAGGTGGTCAGTTTAATATGGTAAATGTGTGTAGTTTTTTTTTTCTTTACAAATAATAGTTGTTAAAATGTCGACGTGATCAGCTTTAAGTTAGAATTTTTAATATGTACTCGAGAATTCAGGTCTCCGAATAAATTTTTATCAGTTTTTGACGTAATGTATACTTCAGTGATAATGTATTTAAATGTAAATAATAAGGAAAAATTTTTAGTTGACTTATTAAGGGTGAAAAAAGTCAGAGAAAGATGTTATGAAGCAAATTATAATACTGATTCAATAACGTTCTTGAAGAAGATTTCGCCTCAAGGAGAAACCGTTCTCCCCCCACCATAGCAATGGTCAACGATATCCATGACCAAAGGAGGACGAGCAAGTGTCAAAACGTCACAGTTTAAAACAAAGGTTCATCAAAAGATTGACATTCTTATCGATTAGTGAACCTCCAGTCTTCTCTTTTTAACAAACTATGATGCCAAAATGTAGTTTAGTCTGAGCCAACTGTCGCAACTAGGGAAATTATGTCAGAGATTTCTCAAAGGTTCCAGAGATTCCCTAGCGTTTGTTTTGTTGTAGCTTACTCCCAAGCATTCTGTTAGTGAAAGAGAGCGAGCGTGCAAGAAGTTCATGAGGGGTTTGGCACTAGAAATGATTGTTTCTGAATTGAAATCCAGTGGACCCACCGCGTGCTTACATCACTCGCTGACTCGAAACATATTGGCTCGTGCCGCAACGCAAATTAGAGCCAGCTTGCAGGCGTGCAGTTGTTTGATAGAGCAAGGCTCATTAAAGCGTGGAAAGAAGGACGATGATAATTGCGTTACGCTACACCCCTTGTATTCAGTTTCCTCGCTTTATCTCACATCGATTTACCGGTCTCTCTGATTACTGAAACCTTAGAATTACGTTAAATAGTTTTGCCAATCTTTGCCATTGAAAATATCCTGCTTTGTCTGTTTAGTCGAAAAATAGAGGGGTGAAAACTTTCTTCTTTAACTTCCGTCATATTTTTCATTTTATTATTATTTGTTACCATTTATTATTTCCTTTTTCATTTCTTCGATATTTAATGTTATAGGCTCCAAACGAATGATGAGGTGGCTGAAAGGCAACCTTTCTACCGACATCTGTAACAAACACATTCAAACCTGTCATCAACAGCCACCGAACGAAAGATATCAACCTCGAGCTTTGGCAAGTGAAAACCTTGGGGGGAGGCGGGGGGGCGGGCGGTAGCTCATCATAAGAGCCGGTGTAACAAATGGTAATATTAGGGATGAAAATAGATCCTAAAAGAGTTTTGGTCGTCAAATGAATTGAGATCTTTCGTTCTCTACTATGTAACTACCGAGTTTAAATCCACGTTCATTCTTCATCTATTTATCGGCTCAATAATTTCGAGTTTCGTTGATCTCAGGAGTATGAAGTCACAGTTCTCTAGTCCGCACGTTTACAACAACTTAGCTTGTAATTACTTTATGTCCGTACTCACAATCGAGTTCTCTCATCTCAGAAAGAGAACATTAGATCGCGAAATCAGGTGATAAGAGGTCGAATCCTCGTAGAACACTCATTTTTTCTCTTTTTCCAACGCTAAGCATACGTCACGTTATACAGTGGTGTTGCGAGACAGCTGGTGTTTGAAAAGAAACCCCTGACGATACCGAATTACCTTACAGAGTTGAGATTTTCCTTGGGGCTAAGCAGTCGCGATGGAAGAGAACAATCCATTTACGTTAATACCGTGTGTGCCTGCCAGTCATAGCCACAGCACCAGAGGACGATGAAATCACTCAACTAAATCCAGTTCGTAAAGTCATTGCATACAGTTGAGCCATTTCTAAGGGACAACCCAGTTTTAGATGGATGGAGATCTGCTGACAGTGGAAGAATGGATCAAGAATATGGACGAGCTAAGCCGCAAATTGTTTCAAAACACTTTTCGGCGCGCACGACGGTAGTGCTGAAGGAGCGCATTGACATCTGCCTAGCAAACAACAGCACTTCTGCTGCAGTGAGAGTTTACACAAACCGTAGGTAAAATTCGAAGGCATGGTTAATCGACATAGCCGAATCAGATGATCCTCATAGGAGATTTGTAGCTAAAACGGATGACTTGGGAATTGATAAGTAATTTGGAAAGACGCTTTGCGGTGTCAATCAAAATCTAGCGAAACATAAACCACAACAATGGGTTTCTTATTGATCCTTAATAATCTTGACCTACATCTTTTATTCAAGATGATCTCTTTTTCATGCTGATTCTATCCGTCTTTCTAAAACGTTTGGAACGTTTGAAAAACAAGTTTCTGGCGAACTCGTAAAGTTTTAAATCGAGTGAGTTCAAAGCTTTTATCTGACTTAACATAGAGCTGTTGAATTTGGGTGTCTTAGTCCCGGCGGTTGTCTCGCTTAGGTTGAACTGCGTAAACGGATCTTGGAATTTTAATCCAAATGTTTTCTCGAACAAGTATTGACTTTCCTCTTGATACTCTGTTAAGCCAAAGAATGCCATTTCCCGCAAATTACGCATGGCACTTTCTAACATAACTTTTCCTCGTTTTTCTGTTGAAATTCCTGTTGTGTTGTAACAATTCACCCGTCGTAAATCGGCCAGCATTCGTGTTTGACGATTGAAAGCAAGATTCCACGGGCAGCCTATAAATTCTTCGAACGTAATATCACTCAGGTTTTCCCTCTCGAAACACGGGGGAAGTTCTTCTTTGGTTGGGGATCGCCCATTACATCGAAGGGTTGCCCCTCTCCACATATCCCCCTTTCTCAAGACGAAGTAAAATTCACTTACGAATCTCGAAACTGGTTCCCTTAAGATCGTTATATAGATAAACTTCCTCAACTTATTGCGGCCTTCGCGTTTGTTCATATAATTTGGAACACACTCTTTGTGCTCGGTCCAATCAGCGTGGAGTCCACACGGCCAGCCCAAATGAAATCGGGAAAACAACCAAATGCGGGTAGAACCTGGTCGAAAACAATGGCATACTCGCGACCATCCTTTCTTTGGCAAACGGCGTGACTCCTTTGTACAAGCACATGGCCTTTCTATATCTAAGTCTTTGATGAGGTGATTACCAAAAATGGTTCCTCCAGTTTTCTGAATATGCAAGAATACCATAACATCATTTCCTCGCATGTCAAAATTGTGTTCGCGCCACCCGGTTTTGCTCGGGTTTGTCCTGTTTAAAACGGCGACAGGGTTGCGACGAATAGGAACGACGGTGCTTCGCAGCATGACCCCCTTGAAAGTCAAAAACATCAAGGTCGTAAAGGAAACAAAAAGAACCGCCACGAAAATGTATTTTAAATTACAACCCAAACAGCTCAGAGACATCGTTATAAAACAAAGCTTGGTTTGAGTTTATAGTATCGAGTATTTACCACCGGAAAATCTCGATTTCTAAGCCCTGTCCGGTACAGGCCTGTCGACAATTCGCTACTAGCGACAGCAGTTTGTCGACGAACAGTCGAAATATCAGACAGCAATTAGCATGATTTCTCTCATACTTGTAGTCACGCTAAAATTGAAAGACGACATTTGAAACCTGTCAACGTTCCCACAGGATGCAAATGTCGATAAAAGCAACCAATGGTATTAATTATTTTGTCTTTGTCTGGCATGCCCTCCGGCTTACTTCACCTCGTGCTGTCAAAAAAACAAAACAAAAATATTTTAACTTTGTAGAAGTTCGCAAGTTCAATCTCGGCAGACTACCTGCTTCTAAGAGCATTGGCAGTTGATTTATAGAAACAAGCATTTGTCAAGACTTATCAAATACGGTCTTAAATGCGAGTTTCTTCTTGGGCATCCTTCTTGTTGCTTTTTCTGAAAGTCTTTAACCTTCGTTTATAGGAAAATCTACAATAAGTAACATACCAGCTTGCAAACCTTCCCCCCATCTTTTTAAGGCGCTTGGAAGCCCTCCATTAAATTTTTACGCGTCAAACGACTCAGTTGTGGTAACCTTGAATCCACTCTCATATAGAGAATATGCATACTGATGCCAGGGAGGAAAGGGCTAACTGTAAATACGATCCGACGTGACTCCTCTAATCCCTGTGCGGAGTCAAGGTTCGTATAGGCGGGAGTAACGAGGGGTGAACAAGAGAAAGAGAACTAGAGAACTATCAACGAGCTGTAAGGCTCCTCCTTGATGAAAGTTTATCAACATTCGAGGAGAGGCGTGAAGGCTGTGAACATTCAGCCCCATTCATTTAGTTTTGGGTACGCGAGACATCCCTCGCCCTCGAGACAACTTAACCCAGCGTCGTAACACCTCGTTACAGCTTTCCCCACATCCGTCTGTCTCGTGCCGGCTGGGAGGTTACATATTGGGCAAAATTTGGGCCGGGCAGCGAGCCAAAGAGTATTTTATGAGAAAAAGCTGTCCTGCCTGAACGGGTTATCCTACCCAACCCAACGCGGCAAGAAAACATAGCCTCCCGAGTTGTCTGCACCACCGAGAAAACAAAACACACCAACAAAACAAACAAACAAACAACCACACAAATAAAACAACAAAAGCAACAAAAAAGGGACTGGTGCAAACAGCTTAAAAAAAGCATTGCACCAAAGCTACAATATTGCACAAGTTATCTTTTTAATTCCTCAGTGATTCGTAATAGTGATATCCAATATAAATACTGCAAACATCGTATTTCCTTATAACGAGTTCCTATTCTAAAAAAGTTCACAATTCTTTAAATCTCAAATTCGCTTCGTATTAAGATCGCCAAGTTCAGTAGCGATGTATGAAGATGAGCGTGTCCATGGCAACAAAAGTCTCACGTTTTCACTTTTAGCGTTCTACATAACGACAGTAAAATCACGGTGGAATATTCCGTGTACCTCACACTCACACGGTGACTTTCTGTATTGCTATGATTCAAAGATGGCAACTAAAACATTCTCAAGGATATCTGCCAGCAGACAAAATGCAAGCAAACTTGACGTTTGACTCGAACACAGAGCAAGAAGCACGAAGCAATCACACGATACACGAGGACAGAAATGCTTTAAAAGAGAAGCGAAGCTAACGCCACCATGGCTCGTTGCAATGTTTGACTTTTTTCATTTATTTTTTTTTTTGGTATAATTTATTTATACTAATGTAGGACATCTCGTCACAAAGTCACTTATATTTTCCACCACGTCCACCACTGTCTCGACGACCACCTGCGCGTCCGCTAGATCCAGACCCTGCACTTGCAGCGCCACCACCCGTCCCAAATCCTCCTCGGTTATTCGCACGAGACCCTCCACTTCCTCCACGGCCAGCTTGTCCACCACCACCACTTGCACCCCCGCGGGAGTTTCCACGGGCCCCACCGCCAGAACTACCGCGTGGACGGTTCGCGCCGCCACCGCCGCCGCCGCCGCCACCACCACCACGCCCAACTGATCCGCTGGGTTTCTTTTCTTCAATGTTGATTTCGTGGCTACCGATTTTGATTGGCTACAATAAACGAAAAGAGGTGTATATTACATATTTCTTTAGTAACATATCAGTTTACAAAGAACTCGAATAGTCCATTGCAATTGAGACGTTACATCAAAAACCAAACTAATCCCAACAGCGGAAAGTACCGCTGTCTAGAGCGGGGTCTAGGGCGACTTTCAATCTTGTATCTGATTGAATAATGGGGCAAGTTTTTACAGAAACTATGGTGCTGTGCCGGTGGTAGGGGGATAAAATAAGATAGTTTGGTTTTGTAAACTGAGTTGATAATGCTAATAATCATATTAACTACGGTGTTATACAAGGATTTCCTAAGAAAAGCCGCACTAACACACGTGAAAAATATCGTTTTATTACGTGTGTTTGATATCGCTGAGAACGAAAATCGATAACTGGAAGATTTGCCACAGGCCGATTTTGCCCGTGTATCTGAAAGATTTCTTTTGTCGGTAAGGACCAAGTCAATAACTGAAAATTTTGTATATTGAAAACTACGGCCATCGTTTGTTTTTGTAGTGTTTCAACGCATTTTTTCATCTTGAGCCTTAGCACCAACGCACTTTACAATTTTTATTCAGCGATCATTAATCCTTTTATTTTCATTCATTGATAAAGTCGACTTTTTTTGTTACTAAAAGGCTATTGTGTTTATGTACATGGTACATGTTTGCTTGTAGATATGAAATTTCTTTTCTCGTGTTCAACTCGTCATCTCACTCGTGAGCTATCGAGTTCAACACTCGAAGAGAAATTCCATACCTATGCGTGCCCATGTATAATTCTCTATTTGGCCCCCTTCAAGAGTTTCTACAGCTGACATTTAGAGCGTTAGCCCTTCGTTTAAGCCAACTCTTTATGGTGGCCAATTTACATTATCAAATCAGCTGATAAAACCAAATTGTCTTGTATCTGTCGGATGAGATGATTACTTATTAAGTTTTCTACACGGAGATTTTAAAAGCAAAGCCATTCTTCTCCCCCCTCCCCCCCCCCCCTCGATTACTTTCGACCACTAACTTCAATCGAATTTAACAAGCGAGGTGGCAAGAAGAGGTCTGGATTTATGTCTTTAACATTGAGAATCATAAAAATAAAAATTTCAATCAATTTGTTGTTCAAAATGATGATGATGATGATGATGATGATGATGATGATGATGATGATGATGATAAAGTTAGAAGATGATGGGAAGGTCTGGCCAAAGGTTGGACATTAGGAGAGTGGAAAGTCCCCATGCGAGAGGACCACCCTAAATATTAAACATTCAAATACAATCCACTCTATTCTTATCAAAAGATTTCAAGATTTAAAAAAACCTAAAGAAATTGTTTAAGCATGACCTTTATGGTTGTACCTGTTCACATTGATACTTACTCTGTTGATTAAAATTTGTTCCACTGGTTCAGAGCTGTTAAAAATCACAAATCCAAAGTTCTACAAATATAACAAACAAGAAAACTTATTAGGACTGTTGGAAATAGTTTAAGTGAATCTTTGATTATTCTGGCTTCAATGATACCAAACAACCCAACAAACAAACAAACACAACAGAAGAAAACCACAGCCTACGTGTTACCGTACCCTCCCCCGATAGTGAAACGGAAGCCTCGCCTTTGTTTCTCCTTGGCGGGGGGAGGGTACGGCTTCATGTAAGCTAAAAAAACCAAGGCCAACAGTAGCAGAAAAAATAATCTGTAGTAAGCTTAAAACGTGTATATTAATGAGGCGAGTACCTTAGGATTTAGCCTGATTTCCAATATGGTTCCATACTCTGGAAGAGAAAGATAGTGTGAAAAATAAATATACATGAATATATTATAATGCAAGGAGGGTCACAAACATCCAAGCATCTGACAGAATAAACAAGGATTAATGCAGGACTCAGATTTCCCGCCCCAAACTCAAGAAGAATGTTTTGAAACATCCCTCATTTGACATGGATGCATATAATTTGCAGCTTTACTGCTCTACATAGGACCTAGCAGAATGCAGCAGGCTTGTTTCATATGATCCTAATATAAGGCCTAGCTGGTAAAAAAAAAACTCTCTAAACGGCTGTCACTAATGCATCTGAATGCAAAAAAAGGAACTACCTTGGTTTCAAATCCTAAACTTTAAAATTTCCTATGTCGTGCAATTGACATCTTTGTTTGTCTTACATCTTTCTTTCTGCACAAAGTAGAGAACAAGTAGTGCGCAAATAGACTACAAATATCCTGTGATATTGTATGGTTATTTGGACAGTTGGTTATTTTAAACTGTAAAAAAACTTGTTTAACCAGTTGGCTATGCATGCTAAGCTTTTCTATCCACTTTGCTTTTCCTGCCCTAAGAGAAATGAACAGAAAGACTAAGCAGAAAAATAAGCAGTTGGATAATACCACTGGTATTAGACATTTTGTTGTGTAGTATCGCTGAGTATTTTTACTCATTGTTTGTATTGTGATTTGCCCTACAGGCTTGTCAAAATAAGGCACAATTCATAAAAAATACTCAAAACTTCTAATAAGATATATATATATAAGTGAAAGAATCAAAGAGGACGCATCGATTCTCTAGCACCAACGGTTCTAGAGAATCAATGCGTCCTCTTTGATTCTTTCACTTATATATACTCAGCTCTGCTACCACAGCATTGAGTACTTTTTGCCAAGGTAGACTCTACCCCCCATTTATATGTGTGTATGTATATATATATATATATATATATATTTATTTGTCCACATGTGCACTCACTAGAAAACACATTGCGCACTTCTTCATCCTTGACCCCTGC